ACAACTGGTGAAACTGAAAGTGAAACTTAACTGTCTGCTGAGCTCCTAGCTACCTCTCACTCAGTGAAGCTCTTTTCAGATTCAAAATACCTTTGAGAAAATGTATTTTCAGATGCCAAGTAAACTGCATAATGGCACGCGCGAACCCCCCTGCACTGAAATGGGCGGGACAGAAGCAGAAGGAGGTTCTTAAAGAGACAGAGGCCAATTTCAAGGTGTTTAGATGAGGAAGTGATGAGAAGATAAGTTTATTTTCTATTTAAACATAAAACAGCATTTTAAGAACAACTAAAGGTGACATAGATACTTTATTATGGTATAGTATTTAAATATATGCCTGAGAAACACATAATATTGGCCCTTTAAGTGCTGTGAAAGAGCTTTAAGACAATGTTTTTTTTTTATTTGTTTGTTTGTTTTTTGGTTGTAGATTTCATGTTGAGGTTTGCGCTGGCTTTTTTGTTTTGTTTTAACTTTTATGTGATTTTTATTTTTGTTTTTAATTGTGTTGTTTGCATTGTTTTACTTGTAATGAGTTTTATTTTCTGTGTTGGTCCCCAGGAAGAATGGGGTACAATAATTAAAATGAAATGAAACTAAACCTGTGGTCTGATAAGCGACAGAAGATGGAGATGGCGATAACAACAACAACAACAACAACAACAACAACAACAACAACAACAACAACTAGAAGCAACATTTTCCTGTGAAAACGCTGCTTCTAAGGCTAAGTTAACCTGAAACTCCTCAGACTGAAGAAATCTTTTGGAGGTTGGTGGATGTTAGCATGTTAGCATCGGTTACATTTGCAGCTTCCTGCTTCCTCAGGTGCACAACGTCCTTCCTCATCACGCTGGTTTGGATCAGATCCAACATTTTTACTCTCCTCGAACCATTCAGATCTGTATAAAATCATTTATTTTTAATATTTAGAGAAACATCTCAATTAATGTCACAGTTAGCTTACATATAAATACTGCAGAGGAATGTTATTTTTTTATTTTTCATATTTTGAAACACTGAAGCTGCTGAAGTGGCTGAAATACTCTTGTAAAACAATTTAATGTTAAAATAATTACCTTTTTTAAATTAAACACAGGAAAAAAAACTCCTTACAGTAGCAGGTTCTAGATAAAAACACATTTAATTAAAAATAAGAGAGGTTTCTGAGGCTTCACCTGGACCTGTTCTGGTTTCAGTTCATTCATGAAGCGTGTGCATTAAAGCTACACACGGTTTTAAAATAAACCTGCATGTCATCTCACCTTTATCTCTTATTTCACTTCTCTCCGGGTCCAGCGGCTCGTCGAGGAGGCTGCAGCCGACCGCTCGGCCGTAATGCATCTGTGATCACAGTAATTTCTCTGGGAAAAAGCAGAAATCAGCCGCTGTCAGAAAAGACATGAAAAGTTCAGGTGCATACAGATTGGAAAGTTGCAGTCTTAAAACGTCCTCTGAAATTACACCGGATGGAAAAGTTAAAAGCTTTTGTTAAATGCCAAACGCGACAGTCTGAGAGGAAAAGATGGGGGGAAACGGTGAAACAAAGGATTTTTTATTTGCTCCCCAAGCTCAGAGTAACCTTTTCTAAGTGCCTTTTATTTTTTGTATAGGAGCTTCAGACATCTGAGTTTAGCCTATATGCTCTTTTAAATAAAACCTCTTGTAATGATGATGATAAAGCTGCAGACTTTGTGTTCGGCGCCGTTATTTATTGGTAAAGTTCCACACAAAGCTCTTCCTGTCAGCTTTCTTTCTCTGACTTTTGAAAGGGAACAATTTAAAGTTTTCCAGCGTCTCCATTTTGGTGAATGGTGGCAGAGCTGAGAGCGAAATGTGTTTCACCTGCAGACGAGATGTGAACAGGGCAGGAAGAATGGGGCCGTTTTCGGGGGCCGCAAAGAGCTCTGAAGGATGGAAGAAATAATCTGAGATAAGGACTGTGTCTTGTGGGAGAAAGAGTAAAAAGTGTATAAAACACTCAGATGTAACTCGTCTCTACTTCATGGGCCGATGCTAAAAGCTGAGGCGAGGGTCCAGTGTGCCGAGCGCTTTATTAGAGGGAAAATAACAGAAGAACAAGCTGAGGATAGTGCATAGTTTCTACTCTGAATTACTCCTGTGTGGGTTGTTGTTGCAGACAAACACTCGAACACGTGCACACGAGCACAATTTGGGGGCTCGGGCTGAACGCACGAACCCCTCGAAGCCTTACAGAAAGACACACGTCCACGTCTGGAGGCAGAGGTTTTAATCAGCTGGAGCTGAAAAGGAAAATGCCATTAGATTTTAAAGTGGATAATTTCGCATTCTTCTCTCTATTCAATTCTTCATTTTTCTTTTCAAGCTACCCTTTTATGCCCGATACATGTGCTTTTATGGAAAATTACGACATTTAATCGAGAGTCTTTGGTCAGAGATAATTGCACAAAGACCCATTAGCGGTCTTCCAGGACCGGCGTACCCTGAGCGTTTCTCCTCTTTTTTTCTTTCTACAACATCTGTGAGAACATGCTTCATGGAAGGAGGATAATCATAATTGAATTATCTGTCATTACGGGGAGCAAAACGCAGGTCACCTCAGGTTCACATATGCTGCGTGCTGTCATAAACAAATCAATTAAACAAATTACGCTCAACAAACCAGGCTGTTGTACCCACTGTATGTACAGTAAAGGTCTGCCGCTGTTGTTTGCTTTTCCTGACGATTTACTCAAAGCAATTATAATCATATTTAAAGTTTTCTGGGCCACTCGTGCTCCTCACCTGACGACCCACCTGCTGATCGGCAAATTGGCGCCCGGGTGAGATCAGCAGGAGGACATTTGACCTGAATTTTAGCCACTGTAGGGGTCACCTCGAGTGAAGAAACAGGAGTTACTGCCTCAAAGCAGGTCTCGCACAGGCCTGAGAACTGGCAGGAACGCTGGACTCTTATTTTAGGCCATGACGGGTCATTTTACACACGAGGACTTCAGTTCTCTCTAATCAGATATTAACAGAAACAATCGGTTCTGTTCATGATTCATTTATTGTTTAACTAAAAATGTTTATGCATTTGTTAACCATAATAATGACATGTCACAAAGAAAGAAAGTATCACTTCTATTCTTTT